AAGAAAAGGAGGAAAGTAAGGTTAGTAGGGTACTACTAATTTTACTTTAACAAAGTGTGGTCATCCGGATCAGTACGTCCCTTCTGCACTAAGACTTCCACATGACACGTCACCCTGAACACGTCAGTTTTACCCGGTGATGGCTTCTTGAGTCAGCCATTATTAATCTTTTAGGCAAGATAAAAGAATAGAAGTGGTTCCACTTTTTCCTGTGACAGTCATTGTCATGATTTAACAAATGCATAAACATTCTTAGTTAAACAACAAATGAATCACGAACAGAAGAGATTGTTCTGTCCATTATCTGATTAAGAGAACTGAGGGGTTCTCTTCCACGGTTAGAATGACCTGTCATGGTCTAAATTGAGTTCAGTTTGTGACAGAGTTCCTGTCCTCTCGTCAGGCCTGTCCGAGCCTGCTTCGAGGCAGAAAATCTTGTTTCTTCACTTGAGGTGACCCCTACAAGTCTTTTTGTAAAGTCATACCAGTATTTTTTATATTTTGAATAAACATATTTGCCAATGCATCCTCAATCTTGTGATGTTCCTGTGAGTTAACTAACCAATAGCTATTTGGTCACTAGTTAAAGCAGTTTATTACAGTGACACCTTCCTAAAATAATTGTGTAACTCAATGGACCTTTTGCCAAATTACGTCATCACGCAAAGCACGCATGAAACGAACGTTTTGATTGGATGCTGAAATGCTGACTCCTCTTACATACGGAAGCGGGGGGGAGACCTTGTTGAGGAAGGCGAGTTTTAATGTCGATGCATGGTTTGCCAACTAAAACTTGGGCGATTATTTTCAGAGATCCATATGGCTCAAAATAAATCAACAAACACTAAAACTAAGGATATTCCATCTACAATTTCAGTTAGTTTATTTAGTTTTCTAAAAGGATTATACAATTTCAGTCATCATTTTCTCATTTTATTAGTTTTATTCATTTTATTCAACTAAAATATTTTTTCGATTTCAGTTTTCGTCATTTAGTTAGTTTTAGTTAACGACAATAACTCTGGGTCTCTGTCCTGAGTTGGACCAGTTTTTCTGACTCATTTTGGAACCAGATGGTTCTAATCATAGAGATCTCGTCAGCATCTCCTGCTGTTCTCTTTAACTTGAGCCTGTCAGGATCTGTGAAGATCACAGAGAGGAAGTCCGAACACGTATCCCTGATGAACACCACATCACAGATTTTGGACCCTTACCCAGAGACCGTTACCCTCTGGTGGCTGTGCTGACTTTAGCCAAGGAGGAAGCCCGAAACATTTACAACATTGTGAGTAAATAATAAATAAGATAATGAATAATAAAATAAAAATACGTATTTTAAAGCTGAGCGACAGTACAGATCTATGAGCTCTGGTAACAGCAGCTCTTTTGTTTTTCCAGGTGGCAAATGTGACCGTTATTCACGTTCCTGATGACAAATACAATCTTTCTGCTCGGATTCTCTTTCAGTACCTTCTCACCTCACAAAGAACCATGTTTGAACTGAAGGTCCGGCGCTGAGTCAACAGATTTCATAATGGATTGGACCTTCATAATGGATCTGCTCAGACATGAGATGTAAACATTTCTGATGAGTCTCTCCTGTCCTGCAGCCTCTCTTCATGTCAGCCGGTGCCGAGGACACGTCTCCGCCTCCGGACCCGGAGCTTGTGAGCCGACCCAGCAGCCTGGAGGAGAACCCAGAGGTGGCGGGGGACGAGTGGGACGAGTGGTCCGAGCGGTCCAGCAGAGACTGTGTGATCTGTCAGAACGCAGCAGTGAACCGGGTCCTGCTGCCCTGCAGACACGCCTGTGTGTGTGACCACTGTGTGACCCACTTCCAGCACTGTCCCATCTGCAGGGCCTTCGTCCTCGAGTCCTTCGTCCTGGACCGGCCAGCAGAACCCTGACCCTGGACTCAGTCTCATGTAGGGTCCAGAGCAGACCAGGTCCAGGGGAAAGTCAGTCAAATGAAGCAGCAGCAGAATTGGAGAAAGCTTGTTTTTGTAAATGTTTTGAATTAAAGATGTAAATGTGACTTTTTTTTTAGATAAAAGGACAAATAGTTCAAAGTTTCGACAGTAATTATTAGTTCAAGCAGAGCTGGATGGAAGCATTATTTTGAAACTTCTGATGAGAAGCTTTTATTTTTGAAAGAAAACCTGAGCAGAGAACCTTGTCTGTCTCCGCCGTACAAACGCAGATCTTCTGAGACGCTGTAAAAACAGAACCTGGGAGTTTTTAAGGTTCCTGACCTGGATAATAAACCAAGTGACTCCTGTCCACACGCTGACCCGACGGTCGAAAACACCAGAAGGTGAAGCTGTGTTTTTAAAGTGTTCGGAGGTGGTGAAGACGCACGGAGCTCCTTCTGGTTTCCATACTTTGATAAGATAATTGATAATTCTTAAATCTTAAAACTAATCCTCCTTTTTTGTTACTGTTCTTAATCAACCTTGTCATAAGTTTAATGTGCCGTAAACATTTGGTTCATCAAGATCTAAATCTAAGGTTTACNAAATAAACTTAAACAATAGATAAAATGATTAAATCCCAAAAATGAACCAATCAAGATAAAAATAAATCAGGAATTCTAAAAAATGAACAAGAATCTGTAATTTTGTTTTTGTCTTCTGATTAGTAGAAAAGTGAATTGGGTGTAAATATTGTGTAAATTCYATCATGAAGGAGATGAAATTTATTTTTTTCTTTAAACATTTGCTTTTATGTAAATGAAATTTGGCCTGAATGATTAAAAGATTAATAACAAATTCCTTTGAAGTCAGTTTTGTATTTTGTTGAAAGCCAACCAGAACATGTTTCCAGAATAAATAAAAGTTTTAAATATTTTCGAGTCAATAAAATGACACAATTGTTGCCAGAATAGTTTGGAGTGTGGACAGAACCAACACAAGTGTGTAACAGATTCAGGAGACACATCACAGAAAGTACAATTTAAATTTCTTTAAGTTTACTTTTACAGGGTAAATTCTAMGAATTAGRTTGAATGACAGTTTTTAACTTTATTAGTAAGAAGGAAAACATTTCGTAAAAGTTTGTTAACATTCTCCACGCTAACTAACAACTTCCGGGTTTACCGGAAGTTCAGTGTCACYTGACGTGTTGAACTTCCTCTGATGTGTGTCGGAGGTGTTTGTGTTGAGCTGAAATAAAAGCGACTTTAAGATGAAGAGAGATGGCCACAGTGTTCTTGGTCACTCTGTATGAATACTCTCCTCTGTTCTCCATCGGAGCCGTTTCTCTCTGCTTCATCATCACCGCCGCCATCTTGTTAGGACGGTCAGTTTCATCTACCGGAACATATTTACTGTAGTTTATAATCTAACATGTTTTATATTCACTGTTACATCTAATATTTATGTTTTATATTCTCTATAACATCTAATATTTATCTTTTATATTCTCTCCCTGAATTGTTTAATGGAGAAGAGCTGTTTAAACTCGACCTGCTGATCATATATTATGATTGACACAAAGTGACAAACAATAATAACAGCTGTTAACATCCAATTATTTGTATTTATTGTTTTTTATCAGATTTTTTTTATAACTTGAAGTTGAATCTAATTCTGTGCAGATGTTTTAATCAGGTGTTAGT